GGAAGGCTTAGTCAAAAGGAGCACTCCTCCAAGAAAATAGACCAAACTCTTGCATGAGCCTCTTGATTACCACTTATTACCGATTCACTACAACTCAAAATGGAAAACCCAATCAACTGTAGTCCTTGTATAGTTGGGAATATATATAGTTTATAATATATATGTATGGATATGTTATAGTGTGTATATATGTTTGTATGTATGTATGTGTATATATGTATGTATGATGAAGTTGAGATCTTTTATGTATGCCTTTATAGGCCATTATAATCTCCTTCAGACCCTAATTGTAGGTATCTAGATACCCCACTTCCAGGAGGGAAGCCTGTTACCTCTACATTTGCTCACACTCCTCTCTGCTCCACAGACATAAACTATCCTGTTCTCAGATTGCCTGATCAGTACAATTAGGTTAATCTCAGCACGACTATTCTCAGCATATGTGTTGTTTGAAAACTATTGCTTTGCTTCTGATCTAAAAAAGAGTCCATGTGCCTGAACATTTGTCTGATTTAAAACATCAACTATTCTGCAAGAAGAATGTTGCTCCATAGATACTGATTTTAACTGAAGTACTAAGGAAATAGTGGTTAAGCACCACACACCCTGCGAGGGAGGATGCCCACACAAGAAAAAAAAAAAAAAAAAAAACCAACTCAAAATCAAAATGTGAATCCTCTAAAGCAGTCACTGTAGCTACATGCTTCACTGACTGAGGCACAGAGGGCCTATTACTTCATAATACTCAATCACTCTTAAGGGACAGTACCTATCAATTAAAACCTAGGAATATTAACCAGGCTATCCTTCAAAGCATCGCTGAGAAGCAAATCAAATAAGTATTATCTCATTTTCATGGATGAGAAAGTTGAAGCCAAAAGAAATACTCAGCCAGTGGCATGGGCTGAATTTGGAAAACATCAGAACCCAGGCTCCAGACAACCCAGCTCAGGATCCTTCTTTCAGCAGAGCATGTTGCCTTATTGCAATGGCATCTCCCAAATTACTTCAGTTACAGTTGTTACCTGGGCAAGGCACTTGAAATCTTAATTTAGAAATCATGGAACAGAGGCCATCTGTTCTCTTCCCTATTTTTAAAGCAACTTGCCCAGACTCAGGAGGAAATTTAAGGCAGAGGTGGAATACAAGATTTCTTGGAAGACGTTTATCTGCCCAGACTGTACGACAGTCTCCAGACTGGCCCTGCTTCAAATGCTGCCTAGCACACCAAAAGGAGACGAAGGCCTGCAGATGAGGGGTTTAATCTAATGAATAGTACATAAATATGCTTGCTTCTTTCAGGAGTCCTGTGTTCTTCCAATATGATCCACATGTTACACGTTGTTTGCAACAGCAACTGTTCCAAAATTAACTGTTCTGAATCACACATAATTTTTAAGTCTCAGCTTAACAGTAGTAACAATTATATTTATGAAATGCATCCTAAAGGTACCACAGTTCTCTTACGCACTGGGTCATCAAGCAGAGGTGAGTTGTGTAGTGAAAAGAAAACCAGCCTCATATTTGCAATTTCAAGTGTAATTTGCTCATTTGACTAGCTTTTCTGAAGTACTATATGATCTGCTTTTGTTTCTTTCTTGCTTCGTGAAATGATTTCCCCACAAAAAAAATTATATGACTCAAACCTGTTTATTTATTACACCTTTGTAATTTAAGAGATCTGCTAAACATAGCAAAGTCAAATAATGAGTATGTAATACAACCTGACCTTTCAATTATGCTCACACAGTGAGCATAAATGTTGGATGAGCAAATTAAAGGGAGTAATTTAGCATGCTCATCTACCTGCCCCACATATGTTGTTTTATAAACATATTTCTTTTTTTTTTTCTTTTTTGAGAACAGTTCAAAATGTAATTTCTTTTACATTATCTGAGAGGTTTTTCCCCACTAACACATCAATTTTTCTTTGGACCACTTTAACCTTTGCAACAGTTGCCTCTTAGCTGCTCTGGAAGTTAAGGTTCTAATTTGCTTGTTGGTTTCCTAACTTCCATGGTCAGAGGCTTCAGGAGTAAGAACCAGACGTGTTGTTTCAACTAAATTTTAGTCACCATTGTATAATTTAAAGGATTCAAAATTACTCATAAATTTATTCCAAATTTGACAAAAACAAACAGGGAACCCAAGCATTCCATTTCAGTAGTTTTGAATAAGCAAACCAGCATTTTTTTTCCATCCTTTTGGAAGCCTAGAAAATCCTAATTAAGAATTATTAAACCTCTGAATTGAAAGAAAAAAAACCCCAAAATATTATTTACCAAAAAAGTTTTGTGTAAACATGCTTTCTCCTCTTTCTCTTTGTTGGTTTAATTAGCAGAAAACAAAACAAAACCAAAAAAACCTACCAACTGAACAAACAAAATGAAAAAAACCCAACCCTACAACAAATAGAACTGAGCAAATAATCTAATAATTCTATTTGTTTAAGCTAGATAATAAAGAATTATTAATTACAAAATCTCCTAAGGACTCACATCTCTCCACAAGTATGTATTCTCAGAATTGTCTGATTTGTTTTGCCCAAAATTTTATTTGCTTATTTAATGCATTAGAATGCATTAGACAAAATGAAAAGTTAAACTTATTATTTAAATGAAAAGAATGAGGTATTATATGTTTCTTGCAGTCTGTTCCTATCACACTACTTCAGTCCAAAAGGATTATTTGTTTCTTACTTGAGCTGCTCTAATGGGAAAAAAGTAATAATTTCTAATGTTTTACTTCAAATTACTGTAGCTATCAGCACTCACAAATCTAGAGCTGTTAGTCAGCTACCGTCACACACCTCATGTTACCACTTCTAGAAGGGTACCACCCTTTCCCTGCTCCCTGCCCCTGTTTTAACACTCTTCTTCAGAGAGCTAGTTTGGTTCAGTGCACTGTTTAAAGTCAGTCTGGATGGAAAAAACCCACAACAGAGTATTTACTCTTCTGTCACCTTCATTGTTTTCTGATTTCCTGTGCTCTTCAGAGCTTCCTTATGTGTGTTTAAGAAAGGCAATTGAAGAAATGAGACTGCATCAAAGGCAGTCACAGGCTCTTCTTCGTTTTCTCCCACCACTTTTCCTCCACTATTGAACTGCCATCTGTTTTTTCTAACTGAAAAAAAAAAAAAAAAAAGCCAACAGGAAACTTAAACTGATCAACATTTTGGTATATAATTTGTCCTACACTTGGTTATTTTTACACTGAGATACTCTGAGCAAAGGTCAGGCCTCCTGCTGCGAAAGCACTGCAACACACAGTTAATTCTGTCTCTGTGATAATAATGTCTTCAAATTGGAACAGAGCTACAGTAGCTCATGGCACATAGACATAAGCAATGGCACATTCTTACAGCATTGCCTCCCATGTACTCAATTTTACAAATAAGCTCAATTGTGTAAAAGAATCAATTGTTCCCATAACAAAATATCAGGAAGTCTGCAAGTTATACTGGGAGCAAACAACTCGGCTGCGAGAACTGCTTAACCATGCTGCTCATAAAATCAAGCCTGCATTAAGCTAAGCTCTTGCTGCTGTGCAGATAACTTACATAACCATATTCTTTTACTCTTCTTGCTTGACATTCTTCCTACACTTATAAAAATTCCATGCTACAGTAAGTCCACCAAAAGTCTAAATTGAATAGTGTCAGACACAAATAGATCTGGTTTTAATGCGGCCGTTGTGAACATGAGAATCTCCACAAAGGAAAAAAAAAACCAAAAACCCAAACAAACAAAAAAAGGGACAAAGACATATTCTTAAGCAATATAGTTTTTCTAGTGCATTTCAGAATGAAAATTATAAGAAAGAATGCTCCTAAAACATTATGGGAATTGCTGGCATAAAGCACTGATAAAAGCTTAAAAATTAAGTTCTCTGCATTTTCATAGGAAGGACAGAGCATAGGGCTGCAGCAATGCAAGCTCCTCGGATGCTCTGCTCTCCAATGCACCAGATGCGTATTCAAAAGCAGCATACACAACTGAATTTCCTTGCTAGTTTAAACCTTGGCTTACTTTCAAAGGTGACAAATTAATGCCAACATTTTACTCATATGGAACTCACTCATTGTCTTGCACAGAGACCACCAGTTAATTCATCATTTAAGTATGTTTACGCCTACCCATCCATCATTATGTTGCCACATGTGAACATTCCTGAATTTTATGAAGTAATGGGTTATTTAACACTGGAAGAAACTGAAACAAAACCACCCATGAATAAAAATCATGCCTGTGCCTCACAGCTTGCTTGTCTCCTCTCAAATTTTTCTTCCCCTCTTGGAACATGAACTGCTCTACCCTACCCCCCACACTCACTCTCTGCTTAAAGTCTCTCAGTCCATTAGTAGCCTTTCCTCTCTAGTCTCTCTTCATGCTTTACACCATCTATTGTGTAACACACAGAGAAATAGCTGTGGTAGAAGTGTGACATATATGGAGCTCTAAAAATAACGGAAGTTTCAACTGGGTCTCTTGCAAATTTGTAGGAAGGGGAAAATCTCCATGAAGTATCTGATTTTACTGGGGCTTGAAGTAGTGTGTTAATCAGTTTCTGAAAAAGATAAATCATGTAATGATTTTTTTTGAGCAAAACAATGTATTAAAGCAAAATTAAATCACAGAACATTTAAATGATTCAGAGCGTGCTGCTTTTCTATAGAGAAAAATGTTTTTGTCTAAAAAGTTTTGCCCAAATCTAAGTCTATACAGACAATACCAGATGAAGGTATAAGCAAGATTTGTGGGGATAAGGCATTCCAAACAGAGTACTCTTACCTCTAAAAGCTTTTTCAGTGATGAGGCGAAGAAAAAGCTCTGTGACAGAAAATATAAGCTTTGCAGGGTCCTATATCTAGCCCATTTCCTCTTCCCCCCAAAAGAAACAGCGCTGAAAAAAACCCAGAGAAAATCCCAACCATATCCCAAAGCAACGCAAAGCAAAGCAAAGCAAAGCAAGGCAAAGTAAAGCAAAACAAAACAACTTACTGTCTTCTTCAACATTTTGACGGCGTAAGGTTTCTGGGTCCCTTTCTGCCTGCATCTGTAGACAATGGATGTAGCCCCACTACATTAAAAAAAAAAAAAAAAAAAAAAGGAAGAATAGTTGTACATATGGCTCTTTGAATATGTGAATAAACAGAGTTGCCTAGCTGAAACTACATTTTCTACTCCTCCCAGCTTGGGCAAAAATAGCTCATTTTTCCCCAGAGATGGAACCAAAAAGCAGTGTAAAAACTGCTCTCTGTTGAACAAGTTAACTTCAGTGGTTATTCAGCCAACAGAACTTGCAAGAGCTCAAGATACCTCTTAGTCACACCTTTTTCTGGCTCCTCACATATCCTGGAGGTTTCCTCAGGGTACCAAGGAATGTAATCTGTCCCCAAACCTGTGACAACACATCTTGTCTTTACTAAGGCAACCCATGTGTAATAATTAATTGCATTTGTATTTTTTACTAAATGTCGGTGGCAGTAATGCGAAGTGAGACAGAACAGAAGAGACAATTACTGTGCTGCTCCCTAACCCCTTGCCTGAACATCCAAGCCGCTCAAACTGCCACTCACACCAGATGAAGCGAGTGGCAGTTTTGGTTATTTCAGTGGAAACTTGTGGAGCTTGTTCATAGCAAAACCAACCCAGGCCTATATCTTAAGGTCGTCTAGGTGCACTCACTTGAATGTGATGAATTTGAGCACTCATAGCATAAAATGATGCCTCTGCTTATTAGAAAACACTTCTCTTGAGTGGGAGGTTGGTTAAGACAGGCTTGTATGCTGAGGCTATTTGCTGTGCTCTTCTTGTTCTGTCAAGGAAGGGACCTGTACTCTATGAATTGGCTAATGAGATAAAAAGCTCCTGACAAAACCATAATGCTTACAAACAATTCAGTTGTCTTTATGTTCTACCAAATTTACTTTAAGATGCCACTGAGCAACCCAGTGTCAACCACCATCAAAAAGGATGCGCTGAAGTGCTACATGTCAGCACTAGATTTAAGGCATTTTTGGAAGCCTCCTGTCCTCAGGAGATTTGGCACCCGCTCTATGACTCAGCACTTCCAAATGCAGATTTCTAAGCTAGAGGGGATTGCCATCACCATATACGACTTCCCAAATAACATACATTGCAGAACTGATCACTGCTGTGAAAGGATTTTACATATACCACACACCAAAGCAGATCTCTCTGAACCAGGAAAAAACTGATCTCAGTACATCTACAGGAGATGGCCACAAGCTGAAGGATTACACAGCTGGCCTTTGTTTAAACAATAGAATGGCATAGCCGTGTTTGACTGCATGAATAAAGCTGTGACACAAGGTTTATAATTCTAGGTGCACCTAGAACAAAACCCCCATGCATGCTCTGCACTTTTTCCTCCTCAGCACAGGCACAAGTGGCAGATAGTGTTCTGAGCAGGCATCTCTATATTTTTATGAGAACATGAGTAAGCACAAGAACTGTTAATTGATTGAGAACATTAATTTCAGAAAGACCCTTCATCATGAAAGCTCACCTACAGCAAGGGTTACACACCTCACTCATCTGAGGGCTTGTCTGCATCAAACACACTAATCTTCACTTCATCTCAAATGCTAAAATGATTTGTATCTCATAACAGTGTATTGATAAACGTGTGTGAGTATTGCAAGCCTCAGTGACTCCCAGAATCATTACATGAATTTAATTAGGTCTCTCCTTGGCCAAGTCTCAAAGGCTCTCTTTAGCACAAAGAAAAAAAGAAAATATACTGCATTTGAAAAAGAAAAAAACCCCTCACATCTTCATCAGTATAACTCACATCATCAGTACAACCAAAAATGTTAACAAAATTCTAAGGACCTGCTATGGTAAGGTTTATGTCTCCAGTATTTCACTACAGCACTGTAATGGTGAGGTCACTGCATAAACTCCTAATCATTCTTGTATTCTGCTTCATATATTCAGAATATATTAAGTATATATTCAGTATAAGTATTAAACCCATTAGTCTGCATATGTTCTAAGTATACAGTAAACCTCTCAGAAATTATATTATTTGGTTGAGGGCACAATTAGATAAGCTGTGCAGATGATGATTCAGATAAATAGATTATAAATTCCTGAGCACATCTCCAGGTGTTTGCTACTGCTGCAGTGATGGAGGGCTGCAAGTGTCTTTCAGTAATGCTCTTGTCAAAGTGTTTGCTTTACCAGTTCGTAATGTGGCTCTGCAAAGTCTTCCATGTGAATAAAATATTAGTCACCAGAACAACCCTGATGATCAAACAGAACTGGCTTAGTGATGACATGGACAGCTACACCAGCAGGGGTAGCATAGGTCCACCTTTAACAGCTCCTTTGACTATCCAAAGCCAGAAGAGAGCATATGATAGCATGGAGAGACAGGAGTTTATGAAAGCATGCCCAGATGAGCAGTTTGCAATCAGGCTCATTGGTCACCATTCAAAATATACAGAGAGGCTAGTTTTGAAATTATTCCCTATTGTAAAGATTTTTGATAGCATGTTGCTGGAGTACTAATTTGGTGAAAAAAAAAAAAAAAAAGATTACGAGATATCACAAGACTTAGAAATACATTCAGAGAGTTCTCTTTTGGTTTACGTGCCTATGCCTGGCTCTGACAAATATGTTCCCACCAATGAGCAAAGGCATCACCAAGCTAACAGCTAACACTGCTTTCCTTTCCATGCTGAAACCAGCACCAGGACTCAGGAACAGGATGGCAACCTGCTTACACCATGCACCTGGTGCAAAGCTTGCCAGACAACCATTACTAGTACAGACCTGACTCCTTGTCTCTCTGGTGATAACAGGAACTCTTTGCTTCTCCCCATTAAAAAAAAAAACAAACCAAACAACAGGGGGGAAAAGGGGAGGAAGGAAGAGGGGAGAACTGCTTATGGGTCTTCATGTAAATGTGGAAACAGCTTTCCTGAGCTTTTATGCCTTGGAAAGTCACCAGTTGAAGAGATTCAGGCTTTCATGACCAAAAAGCAGAGGGAAGCTTCAGCTGCAAAAATCTCATGCGCCACTGAAAACTCAGAGAGCTGCTAATTGTAAACTCTTGCCCTCATCTTAAGCTTTTCATTATCAAACCTTGACTGCCACTAACCAGGTTTTCAAAACCTGGTCCAGAAACTGTATCATCTAAACATTACATTGATACACTTGATCAGAAAACACAACTATGCAGAAACCAAAAGTTCCTGTGGCAACATACCACTTCCTACAGGCACGAAATTCATGGCCAGATAGACAGACTGCAGGATTCTCAATGTCCCATTCTCCACAGGTGGTGTTCCACTTCATCTGAATGATAAATATTAATGATGCTATAGAAAGAGAGTGCCTATTCTCAGTGGCTAGAGCACTTATTTGACAAAGAGCATATATTAACACTAGGCAATATTTAAGCATTCAACATCAACAGTTTCAGCAGAAGAAAGTGAGAGGATGCTAAGCCCAAGCAGCTAATAATGACTTGCAGAAGTACATTGCAGTGTGTGATTGATGGGGAACTGATTCATAATTTAGACTAGAAACAAGAAATCAGTCTCCCATAATCCAGATGAGTCCAACCACAAGATTACTCACTATATTGCATTGACATATTTAGATTTGGTCCTGCTATATCTTCCTTCTTTGTAGTTGTTGAATCATATATACATACATACATACATATATCTCTGTATCTTTGCGCATAAACATATATTTAGATGAAGCATGCTATTATATATATTTGTGCGTGTTCAAATGTGCACTTACTTCTAAAGAAAACTAGGTTGTTAATTTTTTGCATCTCTGCCTTGAACAGGCTGTCTAAACTCAAAACATCTATAACTAAGTTGCCTGGAACAATATAAAAAAGTCATAATCTGGGAATATATAGTTGGCCAATTTAGAGAGCAGTAAAAATTAGAATACCAACATTGCTAGAAACATTGTCATTCTCTTTTATTGACGTGTTTCTGTCTAGATGGGTGCTTAATGATTCTGTTGAAAATTTGCTTTTAAAACCCCATGTATAACCGTGACTAAAGAACAAAAGAAAAAAACCCAAAACATTTCACTATGTATGCTATATGCTTTATTACACATATATGTTTCTATATCCAGTTTTAAACTTACAAAATGAATACAAATAATACATACATCTTAACTACTTGGTTATAATGGTCAATAAAAACACTCACTTCCATGTGATGCTGCCTAGAACTAGGACAATGACAACTCGTGAGAAATCTCATGATATTGAGGTTTTCTTGTCCATCATATCTGAAAAATCATGGCAGCCAGGTGAAATTCCTGATGACTGGAAAAAGGGAAATATAACACCCATTTTCAAGAAGGGGAAAATGGATGACCCAGGGAACTACAGACCAGTCAGTCTCACCTCTGTGCCTGGCAAAATCTTGGAGCAGATTCTCCTGGAAGGCATGCTAAGGCACATGAAAATCAACAAGGTGCTTGGTGACAGCCAGCATGGCTTCACTAAGGGGAAATCCTGCCTGACCAATTTGGTGGCCTTCTATGACAGGGGTAAAGGACTGATGGAAAGGGAGAGAGCAGTTGATGTCATCTACCTGGAGTTGTGCAAAGCATTCAACACTGTCCTGCATGACATCCTGGTCTCTAAATTGAAGAGACATCAGTTTGATAGGTGGACCACTCAGTGGATAAAGAACTGGCTGGATGGCCACAAGCAAAGAGTTGTGGTCAATGGCGCAATGCCCAGTTGAAAAACTGGGACACAAGTGGTGTCCCTCAGGGATTGGTGTTGGGACTGGTCTTATCCAACATCTTCGTGAGAGACATGGACAGTGGGACTGAGTGCGTCCTCAGTAAGTTTGCCGATGACACCAAGCTGTGTGGTTGGGTTGATATACCGGAGGGAAGGAATGTCATCCAGAGGGACTTTGACACACCTGTAAGTTGGGCTGATGCCAACCTCATGAAGTTTAACCATGCCAAGGGCAAGGTCCTACACTTGGGTCAGGGCAATCCCAGGCACAGCTACAGGTTGGGCAAAGAAGAGATTCAGAGCAGCCCCGCAGAGAAGGA